AAATGTTTTGTTTTGATATATAAGTTGTTCAGGTTTTTTCATGTAAAAAAAAGTGACATTAATTTCTTAATGACCTAATATATTAAGCAATTATGCCAATCAAATCTATTGTATCTAACATTGGAATGCACAGTTATAATAAATGGGGAATCCGGTAACGTAGGGATTTTATTCTCCATCTAAAGTCTAGATGGATTAGTCTGCTACGTGATCATTAGCCAATCAAGTGATATGTCCACTTCCATCCCTATCTTGTTTGGTTTCTTTTTTTCAAGTTCAGTAGCCAGTCCTACATAGCGACAATTTTTTTCCTAATACTTGTCCTACTAGTAACACTACTTTGTACGTAACATAGGAACAAACCGTTATAAATTATCTAGTTTCTTGAGTAAGTTGTTATTTCCATCTACAAAGAATGACCTCACAGTCAAAGATTCCTGTGATTACTCTAATTTCATCAAATCAATAAAATTTGATCAATCTGAATACATCACCAGTTTTAATATTGAGTCCTTATACACTAACGTTCTGCTTGATGAAGTAATTAGATTAGATAGTGATTTATTATTTCCTGATGACGCTAAAGTTAATAGCTTAACTAAAAAATCAATTCAGGAAACTACTTGAAATTACAACCAAAGAATCACATTTTGTGTTTAATAATAGTAATACATATGATGAAATTAATGGTGTGGCCATGGATTTACTACTTGCTCCCATATCAGCTAATTTATTTTTGTCTTATCACGAACTTAATTAGTAACAGTTCTGTCCATCCAGATTTAAGCCTTTAGTTTATAAGAGATACGTTGATGACAAATGGACATTAATAAAAAATAAGTGCTCCTGGTTTATAGCTCAACACCAAAGCCGAACAACCAGCTAATAACTATGATAAACTTATCATGCCTGGGATAGGCAAAGAATGAAAACATTGTCGAACAATCAAATGTCAATTTACTAATCTATCCATTATCATGGTGTGTTTTTCCATAAATGTTGTTCTTGCAAACATTAAAAAAAATTGACTATTTTACAACTATTCTGAACATTCATATTTATGGCTGGATTATGAACTAACAATAAGGTGCCAGTGCCTATTGTTGGTTACCAGCTAAACCTACTGGTTTTTTTGTCAGCTGACCATTGCCAACTTTAATCCCTGAAGGTGTGTTTTTACTGAATAAGATTTGTTTTGAAATAATAGTATAGTTAAAAAAGAAAAGTTAACATTGCTTACAGAATAAATTAATTTTTTTTATAAGATATATGATGTAACAGGATTATCAATATAATACGCCTGTAGAAGCTTTGATCACTGCATTTATCGGTTAATTAAAAAATTTTATTTTGTGTGATCTTTTACAACCTTAGGCTTGTGGTTATGCAAGCAGAACTTTGTTGTAGGTGGAAACAACACATATATATCTCTCAGTAAATGTAATTATTGTTAAAATAGCTTTTCTTTAATTCACCAGGTTGTCAGATCTAGGTTACCATGTTGGTCAACGGATGGTAGACCTTTTGTTTGTGAGAGAGAGAAATTTCAAGAGAGAAACCAAACTTCTCAATATGTTGGTGTTTATTAAGTCAGTCATGTGGAGGGTAAGGTCTGTTTACTCCGTTATATATATATATAGTTTATTTTTACTCAAGTGTTTAATTTTCAACTTGTGTCTACTACGTCTCACATTCCTTGAATGTGTTCAAGGATTGCACGTGTGATCCATGGATAATTTAGGTTTCCCTCCCACTGATGTAGAGGGGGAAGGTTTGTTTTCATTGTGTTAGAAGGTTTCTACTGGAATCAACTTTTGTCGTGGGTAAGTTTTGCTTTATACGTGATAGCGGAATTAGCAGTTTACTACTTTTGATCAACTCTGTAAAGGATTAATAGTGCTTGAATTATAACTAATGTAATTTGCATACTGTCTAGAAACAAAGCATTTACTTCCCAGAGTTTTATCATTTGATGGGTGAGCAGTGATCCATTAGCAGCAAGGATAACTTGGCACTAGTCAGCCATATGATGAATATCTTATTCATACTATATGGAAACAAAAGAGTTGTTTATGTGTAGAAGTTGGAAAACTATCATAAGTTACCCTTTCATACTGTAGAAAAAAAACAACATATCTTTAAAAAAATTTTGTGCAGGTGTTTGATAATTAGCTGAAATTTTTATAAACAGGGTATGAATAGTTGTAGAATTTCATTAATGTTCACTTTTGGATAGGTTACGAACCACAGTGACCATTTTATAGAGTTTGTATATGCTTGGACAGGCATGTGTTTCATTGCTTTACTGGGGTGTGGGTCATACCCAAGTAGAGGGGTGTTACAGAAGTATGTACAAGATAATATGTGCCTTCAGTTATTTTCTCGTTGAATGTATGCTAAAAAAGAATGTTGGGATAAATGTCTTCACTCTAGTTAGCTGTTCAAAATCAGTGACAAATAGACTTAGTAGTTTTTGTCATAACAAAAAAAACAGTGTGATGGTAATCTTTCGATTACTTGATTGGTTGAAATAACTGAAAATTTAATAAATGGAGGTTCTGATTTCAGTACTTTGATATTTTTATGATAGTTGATTTAATCTTAATTTTAATAAATTGATTGTTGGAATAGTTTAAAGCAGGAATAATCAGAAACGCTAATGTGTTTGATTTTAATTGATAGTAATGGATTAATTTGCGAAACACTATTTGATGTAATTGCTGCTTATAGATAATTATATTAATTAGTCGTTTAAATCATCCAGCTATAGAAATGTGTACTAACTTGGCTAGTCTAATCTACAATGGTGGGATAATGGGCAAAGAGTTTTTCCTGACTTATCGGTGTGGTACGCACACACAATTCTGTCATCTCTTGTGAATTGCAGTTGTTTATTTTCTCTCCAACCTCTTGCAGTCAGATTAGTTAAACTATAAACTGAAAATCTGGCCGGTATAGTGAAACCCTAATACTTTTTTTTTTCTGTGTGTATAGGTTCTCAAGATACGTGCATTATTTCTTCTGTTGGACATCACTGAACATGAGTACCACACATCATGTGGTAATTAATTAGTGCATCTAGCTGCTACACATGTAATTTGTTATTAGGGTCAGTCATATCGTGTATTTGATTCATTTTATATAGAAACAAAAGCAATTGGTCAGCAGAACTGACTACACGATAAGCAACAAGAGTTGTTTGTTTGATAGGTATATTATCCAAATAAAGTAGATGCATGCCAGATAGTGGATGAGCAGCGTATTCAGTTGCATCAAGAGATAAGCAACAAGAGTTGTTTGTTTGATAGGTATATCATTCAAATAAAGTAGATGCATGCCAGATAGTGGATGAGCAGTGTATTCAGTTGCATCAAGAGATAAGCAACAAGAGTTGTTTGTTTGATAGGTATATTATCCAAATAAAGTAGATGCATACCAGATAGGGGATGAGCAGTGTATTCAGTTGCATCAAGAGATAAGCAACAAGAGTTGTTTGTTTGATAGGTATATCATCTCCAATAAAGTAGATGCATACCAGATAGTGGATGAGCAGTGTATTCAGTTGCATCAAGAGATAAGCAA